ACATGAATCAAATATGTATCTTTATTCATTTACAATAAACTCATAAAGTACATCATTCTGATTGAAGCTAAGGGCATACAAAACTGTCCAACAAAAGGGATTGGAAAGTCACTGCTGATTTCCAGGAAAGAGACACGTGCAGTGTGGTCAGCTGGTGTGCACCAATAGTGGGTCATGTTAAGCTTAATTTTGATGGTTGTAGCCGTGGTAACCCAGGAGCTTCAGGTATTGGAGGTGTAATCAGGGATCATACTGTGGTACTTTACTACTCTGGTCCTATTGGATATGGAAACTCCCTAAGGGTTGAGCTGAATGCTTTAATCCAAGGGCTAGAATTGATGTGCTTGAAAGAAATAAAAAGTGTTGAAGTTGAAGGTAACTGTCAAACCATTATTTTGCAATATTTTTCTATCACATAGGCCATTCCTCACCTAAGGAAGCCAAAACATCTAGATTTCTCAGAGCCAACTTGACAACATTGATGCTATACAAATTTAGGTTCAGTAGATCTCTTATCTTAAGGTACCTTGTTCTTCTTGCCCATCTCCTTTAACAAAATTTTAAATTATCAATCAAACAGGACTCATAAAGGCCTTCTATGATTCTTGCCCAACCGCATATATCCATTTACTCTTCACATTTTGATATGTCTACTGCTTGATGCTAGAAATCATCATGATCCCCACTGATATATAACAACTTTACAATGTTGTTTTTTTTTCTTTTTGATTCGGCGTTGGGATGTTTTTTTTTTTTTTTTGATAATTGAAAAGTTACTTCATTACCAAAATGTAAGAAATGTTATGGCACCCCAAAGAGAGGCACAAGGTGCAGCTTCTCTTGAAAGTAAAAGTAAGTGTAAGAAACCACAATACACTATAATCAAATCATTACAAGGTTGCCCAAAACAGATGTTCCCTCAAGACCCCCTGTTTAGCGAGACTATCAGCCATAGCATTTGCTGACCTTCTCACCCAACGTGAACTAACATTCATGTTGCTTGTTAACCAGCTTGTCTTCTTTAGGAAATCCTTGTAGCACCAAACTACTGAGCTCGGGTCTGTTAACCAGCCCACAACCACCTTAGAATCTCCTTCAATTAGGAGATACTCCACTCCTATTTGATTTATTCAGTGACGGGATTATTTATATCAACACAAAATTGTCTTTGCTTTCTTCCTTGTAAACTGATTTTCAGTTGTTGTCTATCAAAAGGTAGTGCTTCATGCTCTGTAAGGGAGATTGATCTGGAGATAATTGTAGAAAAGTTGAACTCACATGCCTTATAGGATGGAACGATAGAAGAAAAGTTTCAACATGCAACTAAATGGAGGGAGCAATTTAGTTTTGAGGCCAAGTCATTCATCTTTGGAGAAGTCTGGGAATGAGGAGGAGCAGTTTTAAAGAATGGAGAAACAAAGAAGGCAACAATGATGTAGTAGGTAAGCTTGCTTCATGGTTTCAAGGATTTTTACAAGTCACTTCACAATTGAATTGCCTTGGAGACTGGAAGTTTGTAACAAAGGAAGAAGAGAGAGAGGATTCCTTGTGAGGAGAAAGAAGAATGGCAAATGACTTTTCATTGTGCTAACAGAGTTTTTTGGGGGAACCATAAGTAGTTTGTTTGCTTCCCTGAAGGAAGGAGAGAAACTGGATGTGGATTGGTGCTTGATGTTCTTCAGGAGTATATTGAATCTATTGAAGAACCGGTTGAAGAAGTAGATGGCTGAAAAAAGGAAAAATGAAGATGCAAAAGTACTTGGGGAGGAACATCTGAATGGACTGTTGCATATAACTTTGACTGTGATGGTAATCCCCTTTGCTGGTTTGGAAGTCATTCTTGGAATTTTGGGTAGTGATGTTGACATTCTCAACAAAGGTTTTTATTGATGAAAGAAGGATTGGTAATGGTTGAAAAATGGATTCTTCTAAGAAACATGAAAGAAGTGTTACTAGGGGAAAGGATCGCCATACATATTATAGGTATTCCCTTCCCTCTCTGGTCTAGAGAAGTTTTTGGAAGGACTGCATAGATGTGTGGAGGTGCGTTGTTGACCTG